TCTTTCCAGCAGCCAATCCCTTTTTGCAGTCAGTGTATCGGTACATGACTTCAAAACTACTGCAACTTCCAGACAAGCATTCAGTCACGGCACTCTTAAACACCTGGGCACAAAGTATTCGTCAGGCCTGCCTCTCTGCTGCGTAACATCTCACTTTCTAAATTGTGAAGCAAGAAGGAAGGTCTCGCCAGCTGGCCTCTTCCACATGCCACTGGAAAATCACAGGCATTTTGGGGAGGGTACTTCAGAAGAAAGAAGCCTTATGTTGTTTTGATTCTAGGTGTCAGGTTCAGTAGAGGACCTGATGTTAGACTTAGCTTTTGTGCTTTTTATCTTCTGCCTCTGTGGACTTTTGCCAGCATTTTCAAATATACAAAATATGTATATATGGGTCTTGAGACTGTATTAGGATGTGTTTTTATTGTCTTCTTAGAGAAGAAATTATTTGTGGACTTCCATCAGGGAGTCTGGTATAAGAGAGAGTAGGGAGAGAATGTCCTAATTTGCTTCAAAATTTCCTCAGTGCCAGCATTCCTTTCTGACTGTATGTTTTGTGACCTGATACTGCCCCAGAAATAAATCAGCTGCAACCCGAATGTGCTTGCGAACTTCTCAGTGGTTGCAGGAATCCTTTTGCCTATTAGCTTTGCCCAGAGACTGGATAAGCTACAGCTTTTTAAGGCATCCCTCAATTATGTGAGAAATTATGTGGATAATTGTACTTGGGGGTCGGGAACCAAATAGATCACAAAGTATTTTATAGCTTATTTTAAACACTATGTTGTATAAACGGTTTTTGGTTAGCACGGACCACATGTTTCTCACTCCAAAAGAGTAAGGTGATGAGAAAGAAGGGAGCTTAATGTCCACACTGAATTCCTCTATAAACTCAGCAAATGTCTACATAAAGGTGGGGGGAAAACCCAACAGTATAAAGCCCCAGTAACACAGGTCAGTCCTGCAGGCTTGTCGCTACGTGTCTTCTTTCACTAAAAGTCTCTGAAGTGTCTGGCTTCATTTGGGACTTGATGCAGTTCCGTGAAAATGCTGCTGTGCTACATCACTCTGTTTAAAAAGAAAAGGAAAAAACCCAAAATAGCTGAGGAGTAGAATTGACAACTAATATTTTGTGCCTTGAGCAGTGATGGGCACTCTAGTCGGTTATGAGTTGCCATACTGTTGGGCACTTTTAATGAAAACATTTGCCGCGAGTAACTCTGATTTCGTGCATAGTGTGATTGTTTTATTCTCCCCATGCTGCTAAGTTGCTCACTCTTAATTTCTTGGTGCAGAAGAATTTCAAATTTCAGATGTTCCCATTATACCCTGCTCCATCTCCCTGTGTTGTGCAGCAAAGATTGAAGAGTAGCTGGGCTCTCTCAGAGTAGTGTCAAGGAATTGCTATGACCTTTGTAAATCTGTGTGGTGTCATCAGTTTTAGGATGTTTTTAAATGTGGGTACTTAGTAAGTACTGACTGAGGCAGCAGAATGCGATCAGTATTTTGTACATGAACTCATGCATTATCTGTTTGTTTCTATTGTAATAAATTTATTATTATTCCTGTGTTGGATGCTAACGTTACGCTGCTCTTCCCATGTCATCCTTAGAAACCAGGTCTGTTGTTGATGGTTACATCATTCCACTGGATGATGGTTACTTTGTTCGATGGTAAGTGAAAACTCATATGCCCTGAAGGTTAGGGGAGGAAATCGTAAACGGCTCTTCACACAACACTGTTTTTCCTGTCCTCATAGTGAACTGGAAAACCGGGTCAGGAGATGAGTAGTGGTGTCTACAAAGGAGAGATGTAGGTTTTTTAACAGGTGTGGTTAGATGTCTGCCTCTCCTTAAGGCCAAAGAACCAGCAGCAGCAATATAGTTTGTAATACATAATTAAGTCACAGCCCAAGAAATGGGGGTAGAAACAGGTGGAGTTTTTACAGATATTGCCAGGTTCTAACACAGAGACACCTGTAGTGTTTATTTCTTAACAATCTTGTTAAAACCTACCTGGAAACGGGTGCAAAACATGCATGCCCCTCAGCTTCACAGCAACTGTGCAGGTTCCAGAGCTTTTACTGCAGAACCTTTCAGTTTTCCTTCCAACAAGACGCAGCGAGACATTAGCCGAGAGGGTGGGGGAGGCAGCCCAACATAGAGCACCTTCTCAGCTGGGGAATAAAGCATGAAAAGCACAAGTGGGGTGTGTACCCACAACCTGTCAGATCAGTCGCAGCGTATCGATACAGCTGCCTGCCTTAGCTGCTGATGCGTGAACGGGCATAAGCTGCTTACAGATCTTGCTGAAATAAATACAAGCTTATTCCCAAATCCATGGAAAGATGTACCAAAGCGGGAGGAAGTTAGGATGAATGTTCAGGTGCTTTTGGGGCATTAAGAGGGAATTCAGAAAATGCCCGTTACGAAAAATTGAGGGCTTCAGGTCTTTCAGAAATGCATGTCTGTTAAGAAATCAGAAATAAGATATCAGCCTGATCCTTTCCTTTCTTGAACAAATGGCACACAAAATTAATTCCTCAGCAGCTTTTACTTGAAATGAGGGGACAGTAGCAAGTGAAGAGTCTTATCTCGAAACTTGGGTGTAAGTGTGGAAGCAGTAATAAGGAACAGAGTTGAATTGAAGTGCAGTTCAGTTAAGGTGGCTTCTCTGAGTAGCCTGAGTTCTCCCGTCTCTCAAAGCTGTTCACTGGCATGTGCTTCACTGGTGGCAAAACTGAATCTTCAGTGACAGGCACTGGTGTGGCAGACAGACTGCAGAGAGGGGGCAGCAAGTCAGGGTCACTGCAAGTGTCTGGAAGCATTTCTAGTTCAATCAGGAAAGGAATAGGGGTAGGATTGCTGTCCTGTTGGTGAGCTCAGGGAATTGTGTGACGGATCCTGTCTGTCTGATGAGACTTCAAACTTCAGTGAGACTTTTTTTCCCCAAAGTTTTGGTATTTTGAGTGAATTACTGTTTTTCTCTATGGAACTAGGATATTATGTGATTGGCTGTTCTGCTGTTTTTCCAAACTTGTTATGTGAGGCAGAGCTTTTCCGTATTAAAATCCAGCTTTGTATCTTTGCTGTGTGAGCTACCCTGACATTGTCCAGCACGGCCAGGCAGCAGGTGCCTCAGTACCTGCCAAGCCCAGCACAACACACCTGCCTTTTGGCTCCTGGGGCTGGTCGTTCTTGCTAGGCTCTCGAGACTGGATGCTTCAGGGCAGAACGTAGGGAAAACAGTCTTGGCAGCACCCCTTTTGGGAATTATTGTGTTGATCATCTTCCTGTTTTGAAGCACCATGCCTTTGTTTTCTGGACTCCTCCTTTTCCCATAAATACTTATGCCTTAATGTATTACAATTATCTTACAGGATATGGTGATGCTTAAATTTAGGAAAGTGTATTTTTCTCCCTCTTCCAAAACTACTGACTCCCACTAGAATGTAATGCTAAAACTGCTCTGACCTCGTTCCTTCTGCACAAAGGAAAAGGCATTTTCACTCGTAGATCACTTTTTATGGGCCAGATTTGACCATAAGAGGCATGAAATGTACTAGAGAGCCAATACGGCTCATACTGACCATGTGAGCTGATGTAGCTGATTTGCGTATCAGTGGACTAAGTTAAAAGGATTCTTTGATTCCATTCTGGTGCGTGCTACCTTGTAGAGAGACCTACCTGTATTACCACAGCTCTTCTCTCTCACCTGTATGATATCTGTGAGGTTTTTTTGAGCATACCATCTCGTAAGGATGGCACCTTAAAGCACCAAGTATTTGAGAGGGGCTGTAGGAAGCAGCACAGTTCCTGTCACTTCTGTAGAAATATGCGAGAGTCAGTCAAACTCTAAATGTCTTCACAGAATGATCCAATCTTTGGAACAACCCACCTAAAGAAATGGTAGAACACGTTCCTCACTCTAATCGCATCTTGAAAAGAACTGCAGGTTCCTGCTAAAACTGGTTGTGTGCGACTAGCGCACCTTTTCTAGCTGGAGGAAGGAAATAATAAGAGTGAAAGATCCTAACTGTCCTTGGCCATTCTCTGTTGTTCTGTGTCATTTACTGTCACGTCTGTTTAGGCAGCAGTCACTTTGGCAGTTTGTCGTATCACTTAGGGCTTTGATATTGGCTCTGTCCTACTAAGGAATGTACTGAAGTAAACCACCTTCTGCTTCTCTGGGGAGTGCTTCCCAGTTGAGGGGGTTGACTTCCAACTGGAACCCGATGAGTCTTTAAAGACTTTTATCCCTCAATGCAAAGACTTTTATCCCTCAATGCATTGTTTTCTAACTGCAGTAGCCTTTAAAAAAATGATCTAACTGGACAAGTGATAATATGTCAATCTTTGTGTGAAGACACATATCTCACAGCAGCTTGGTGTGAGGAATAAAATGCCTTGCCAAAAATGCTGTTCTGCAGCAGCAGGCAGTACAGAAATACTGCATTCCTCTGTCCTTTTCCCTGTGCTTCCAACCAGTACAGGTAAAGCATATGAATTTTGTGTGCAGGTATGGTGTGTTAAAATGTAGCTTCAAGCTGCAAGATGCCGCTCTTGCCGCCTTGGCCTCTCTTCTGATTTGTTTTCTGTCAGTGCAACTTCCCATAAATTTCTTGGCAGGTTGTTGCCTTTAACTGCTCTGCCTATAGCTAACTCTTGCTTTAGAACGGTGCAAGAGGCTTCAGTGCAGTTATCTCTGACTCAGAAGTGTTTCTGCATATGGCATGGTTCATTTCTAAATATTGATGACACATTCTTCCCCCCTCAAAAAAAAAGTCATTCACTAGATTCCATAGGAACGCTTTTATAAAAATAAAATTTACATTAATTATCTCCACAAGGCCACATCATTGTTTATAAAACTCAATTAACTTTAATATTAAAAAAAAAAAACTTTAGGAAGATCTGATTTAATAATTCCAACGTTTTAGTCACTGAATCCCAGGCTCATCCTTAAAACATTTATTTTTACAAATGTAAGCTGAGAGAAGGTAATTAGTGTTCATGTGGTTTCCATCCTTCAAAGAAAAAAGTCATTATTACAGCATACAGAAAATATCCGATGAGGATAATGAATGTGCAGCCCACTGGCCCAACGTAAAACCAGGATGCAATGAAGTAGATCATCAGCAAAGAAAACAGAGTCCTGTAGCTAGCCAGAAACCTCAGACTGATTCTTGGTCCCCAGTTGTGGCTGGTTCTGTTTTTCACCCTGGGACTGTACCTGATTCTCCGTATCAGTTGGGGGTTGGTCAGATGATAGCGACAAAGTCTGCCAAGGAAATCTTCCCTGGAGCAAAGCACATCCATCTGATGGGCGAACTGCAGCAAGGAAGCAAAGTTTAAACACTACTATTCTACTGTGACTACCATCGTAAAGTAAGGGTAACCTCTTCTACAATTTTCGTTTGCAGTATGAGGATTCTGGGAAATGCGGGGGAATCAAAATGCACTTTTAAGTAGCAGAACTGCTTTAGTGCAGATTTGACTTTTATCTGTCATACCTACAGGAAGAAAAGGACTTGCTTTTCCTGTTTCAGAAACAGTAATTTTTAATTGTATTCCTCTTGTCCATCAAGCATAAAGAAATCATTTAAGATGTTAATGTTTTGTGAAGGAAAAGCAGAACTGCAGGTAGAGGAGCAGGCCTGATGCTATTAGGAAATACCCACCTGGACCACAACAGAGGAGATGAAGCAAGACCAAGCCAAGCGTCATGTACGTTTGGGTGCAGCGAAGAACAGGAATTTGCAATGGAAAATATAAAAGGAGGCTGTGCTGTACTTACCCTTTCGTTAAGCGCTGAGGATAAACGAAACAGGAGGCGGACCAGAGTGGCATTTTCATAGCTTCGGATGAGCTGAAGCTCAGTATCATCTTGGTAATGCACCTCAAATCTACGTAAGCCGTTCATGATCTAGAAACAGGAAAATAAACCCCTTATCTTGCAGCTCGAATTTAAAACACCCTTAGACAGGCACCTCTCTTAGCCACGTGGAAGGACACTTGTTTTTTTCAAGGACAATCCAGGGTAGCTATAGGGAATCTTTCTCCTCTCACCTGGTACCTGCCAAGGGGTGTAAGAATGAGCCCATCCTCACTTTCAATGCAGTCTGGAAGCTGTTTTTTTCTGTTCTCGTCTTGAGCTGTTCCACACTTCATCATCATCTGGGTCAGCTGGGCTTCATTCAGCTACTCAAGAATGAGACAGTTGTAAAGCAGGTGTTTGACCTACCCCTGCTTCCAGTTCAATCCTTTCTCCCCAGACTCCTTAGCCGCGGAAGCCTTTGACAGCCAGCACAGAAGAACATAGCAAGAACTGCTTAACGGCTCCTCGGTTAGACATCAAAAGGAGGTGAGCCCCCAGATTCTTGCCTGTGCTCACCAAATCCTAAGGGGGGGTGTGGGGAGGGTCTATTTTGTGTCCCCCTTACTCCTTGAGAGCTGTCAAAGAGCTGTCTTCTCTAGGTCAGTTCTGTAAAAGGGAACGTGGCTGACAGAGCAATTCACCTCTTCTTTGAAGTTTAACCAAAGCAGCAGCCTAGTTCTAGTTCATCTATTCATCTAAAGCTGCAGTGACCTGTCTCATTTTTACAGATCTTCACATTTAGGAGAGACTGGACTGTTTTTAAAATTTAAGCCACGTCTTGCCTCTGTAAACATGAGAACAGGCACAAGCGAAGAGACAGGCTTAGTATAAACTACAGGGTCCAAAAAAGTGATCACTTGACACAAAGTGGGCTTAATATTTAGATATTAAGAGCATCTAGTTCTATCTATACCGAAAGCAGTTTTGAAGAGGTCAGATAAAGTCAAGCCAGAAAGATATTTACTACCAAGTTTGCTAGCGGGGTCTCTGGGCTCTGTGACCCCACAAAGTGCCCCAGTGACCAAAGTACGTATGAGGAGTCCTGACTCATGCTCGCACTTCCACACAGGGAGAGTTCTTAGAAAGATGTTGCATACCTTAAAGATTTGGCACAAGTATTCCAGTGCCTTCTCTAAATATTCATCTGTTTTTTTGATGCTGTCTTGCCCAACTTCATCAAGGTCATTGCCTGTGTAGGAACCGTTCATCTCGGACGGTGTAAATCTGAACCATGAGAAGAAGGACTGGCTAGCCGTTGTCTCTGTGGAGTGGTCCGATATGGATTTTGCTGTCTGCTGCGCCTGGCAAATTAACTGAGCCAGTTTTAACACCTGAAACAACAAAAAAATTATGTGGGACAAACATAAAAGACCACTAAGCATCAGTAACTGGATGAAACTCTGCCTTGACACCTGGCAGTGAGAGCACACCCAGCAAACCCTCTTAGCTCACATCGACTTGTGCTGCGAGTGGCATTTCCAATAGGGCAAAGGTAGTTCTTTGCTGTTGAAGTATTTAAGAAACTTGAGTGCTGCTTAGGTTTTTCAGCTTCCCTTTTTTCCCCCTCTGGCTCTTTTTATCTGACTTGCTGATGGGTACGAATCCATACGGTGAATCACAAGTTCACAGCATGTTCGAGAGGAAATAACTTGCAGTGTATTACTCTAGGGCAGCCAGCTGTCACATTAACTTATTTAGCAAAGAGCAAGCATATCTTTCCAGCTGTGCTGGACTGAGATGCCTCATGTCCCAGAAGCCACCTGAAGTATACAACAGTGCAGGGTGTGAATTTTCCCCCTCTTCTCACAATATGGATGCTCAGCACTGAGAAAACCCCTGTCAGAGTAGAAAGACAGGCGAGAAGCAGCTTACCAAATTTCTGACTTCTGTGCCAAACATCTGTTTATACTGAAAGTCCTGCCCTTCCAGGCTGTAAACGTGGCTCTTCACTTTAAACGAGGCATCGGTAATAGTTGGAGGCCACGATGATAAGAAGCTCCCACCAAGCGTGGGGGTCATAAAAAGTCGGTGTTGACGGTGGGGCATAACAAGTTCCGGTTCCAGGAATAACTGTTCTCCTAGAGTTTGAGAAAAAGTAGTGAAGGCAGTTTGATAATACTCCTGGATTTGTGTGGGGAAGGTCTAGCTACAAAGCATCAAGTCTGCTGGGCCACTTGCTTTTAGATAGGCAGGTAGTTCTAGGGAGAAAGGACTTAATTACCTTTTTTTCATTTAATCCTCCCTGCCCACAGCAGAAAATGTCAGTGGGTTTAAATGCAGACATCATTGTAAGCCTGCAACGCTTTTTCAACAAAGGCAGTGGAGAATCATGACACTTAAGACATTGATACTTGTCAAGTCTCTCCCAAATTTACGCTATCTTAATTTTCTTGAAGTGCGTACATGATTAGCTAATTTGCTAAGTAGAGATACCTTGAGAAGTATGAGCAGTTTTAATCCTGAGGTGAATAACAAGACAAGTGTAAGAAAAACTGACTTCATTGCAAACACCCAATATTATGTTCTTTAAGGAAAAATTGTGGGAAGAAATCTAAATGATGGTGGTTAGAAAAGAACCGTGGACATTAAACAAGTATGACAAACATTAAGGAAGACACAGAATTTAGAATGGCAAAATGGCATGCAAAATGGGAAAGTAAGTCTATTCACTTGCGTGCTTCTGAAGTAAGAGGTAGCCGTTGTGAAGAAAGACCAAGACAGGGCAACATAGGATGTCAAAATATCCATTTACCTTTCAGGATCATTTCAGCGAGATTGGGCTGAGCAAAGACCTTGGCTACTCGGAACACCATGAGAGCGTTTTTTGGACTGACCAAGTCTGTTCGAAGAGCTCTGTTCAGAAATCCTACAAACAGCTTGGTATACATGAGCAGGTTATCTTGAATGAAGGCAGCCCTGTCAAAGCGAGCACAGGATTTGTGAGTACAGCTATCTAAATCACTGTTGTCTCCTGCCAAATGAGTCATTAAGGGAATGTTTTGGTCTATTTGCACTGAGACATACAAATACTCCTCTCAAAACACAGGTTTGTGTTGGAAGAAATCTTCTAGGAAGCTAATGAAAGTTGGTGGATGGTTCTTGAAATCCTGCTGTTTTACTTGGAACCCGCATAAATTTGAGGTTTGGTGACTCTCAGCTGCTTTCCTCCTTACCATTTCTCCGACACGCTGCGAGGCGAGGGCTCTGCACTCTGTGGCGGCTTTTCTGGAGCATACCTCCAAGGCTGCAAGTAACTTAACCACATCTCGAGGACCTAAGCAAAATCACAGGTAAACACACGTGAGTATCAACAGTGTCTGGAAAGGATGACAGAAAGGGGGTGTTGGTATGTCTTTTTAACCTAGTGAATATTAATGACACTAAAGTTTTTAGGAATAAAGCGCTGTCTAGTAGTTAGGAGTATCTTTGAAAAAGATCTGAAGAAACTAAATGCATGTTCATTAGGGTAGGATGGCACTCAAACAGCTACTGCAGAAAGTAGTAGGTGGCTACATGTAACAGCTCTGGTAGCGTTCACTGAATCTCCATTCCAGAAAGTAAATAAGATGCTACATTAATATAATTTCAGCTCATCTTCTGCATAGACATACCCACCAACCTGAGGAAACAGTGGAGTCCTGATTGGACTGAGTCAAGAGCAGGTTCTCATGGCCTCTGCAAACATTTCTTCTGCCATCCTGCCTTACCTGTGTACCTCAGACACTGCAATACAGCTCTCTATAGGTCTAGCGAGCAAGATCTAGCCCTGCTACGTTCTGCACTTTTAAACTCCTTCATTACCAGGAATCACGGTATTTCTTTTCCTGCTTGCAGGAGGCAGTATTTGCAGTATCCATCGCAAATTAGTATCGTATTACTTTTCTTCATGACCTACTGTTTTAGAAATTAGGACCTTGTGCTGGGTTCAGTCAGGA